CGGGTACGGGGCGGGTAAGTACATACTCGTACCCGTACCCGTACCCGATTTAATATATCAGGTTTTACCCGTACCCGTACCCGTACTTGGTCAAACTGGGTATTCCCCGTCAAAGTCGGGACGGGTTCTGGTATTACCCGCAGGTACAAATATATTTGCCATCCCTACCACCAACCCCCTCCCTCCCGCTGTCACTACTGTCTCTACTGCAAAGGTGCCCTCACCAACCATGGTGGTGATAATAACAATAATAGAGACAATAGTTATTGTAAGGAAAGAATGGTGATGACAACAATGATGACGATAATAATAATAACAATAACGATAAAGACGATTATAGTGTTGATGGCAGCAAAAGAGTGGTGATAGTAGCAATGATGATGATGGTGGTGCAACTGCTACAACCATTATGTCACCACCATTGCAACAACAATGGTGATAGTGTTAATGGTAGTGGTTGTATCAATAGTTGTAGTAGTGATGGTAGAAGTAATGTATGATAATGATAACTAAAATTATGTATGGTGACAACGTAAGTAATAAATTGATTTATAATATTTTAATTTGACGTATTTATTTTAATTTAATAATTATTATCAATAATTCTTATTTTTTATATTAAGAAGTTTTTTATTGGAAATATTTTCTCATTTATCTCTCTTTATATATATTAGTGGGACCGAGACAAGTCGTACTTTTATATTTATTTAAAGGTATTTAAGAATTATCAAATTTTTTTGAATTAATTGATGTTGCGTTTAGTCCTTGAATCTTACGATCTTGAGTTTGTAAAAATAAGTAATTTTTAATATTATTTTTTAGCACTTAAAAATTTAAGGGTAAAATAATCCAAAAATTGTATACACAAAAACAGGAAATTACTTATATACATATTAGTGGGATCGATACACTTCGTGTCTTTATATTTTATTTAATAAAAATGTTAAAAATTATCAATATTTGTTAGATTAACTAATTTAGTCCTTAAACTTCAAGATCTCAAGTTTGAGTCTTATATTTGTAAAAATAATTAATTTTTAATAATATTTTTTATTATTTAAAAATTTAAAGATAAAATCGTCTAAAAATATGTACACCAAATTAGATTATCATATATATATATATATATATATATATATTAATTATAGATGAAAAATTACATATTATTTAAGATAAAAAGTTAAAAAAAAAGCCTGAAAAATATTACCATTGGAAAAAACTAAAAACTAAAAACTCCTTTGTTGAAAGATGATACCTAAAACACTCTTAATGGCGATAATTATTCAATTTAATATCTAGGGTAAATATATAAATTTAGATTTGTATCTTTTGTTTCAATATATATTGAGTTGTTTAAATCATTAATAAAGCTATGATAATTTAAAAATAATATTGACGTTATCATCAAAAGATTCGATAGATTTTTGGCTTAGATAAGTCACAAAATAAGCTACATAATAAAGCTTATCAAGCTTATATATATATTGTTACCATATATATATATATACATATATATATATATATATATGTATATATGAAATCCTTAATTTCCTAATTTAATTACTATCTAAATTAACATTTGTATAATAAATTAGTGAATATAGATATTAAAATAAAATTTTAAATATGTTTTTAGTAAAAAAAAAAAAGCATGTTTTGATTTTTGGTCCTTATAAAAATTTTTCTTTGTTTTTCATTATTCTCAAATTCAAAGTTATGCTTTTAGTTCCTATTATTATGTCTTCATTTGAAAGTTATGTAAGTATTCCAAGTGGTAGTTAAAGTTGTTGTGATACTTTATTTACATGTGACACTACTATTTTATTTTTATAAATTTTTAAAATAAATGTTATATATATATATATATATAAGGATGCGTATTTATTTCAAGAATAAATCTACTATATATATTTATTCTGCTCAATAACTCATGTTTTATATCAAATTTTAAAAATTTAATCGTTGAATTAAAAGTTTTTAATACATACATCAAGTCCGCAAAGTTTTAAAAAATTTAAAAACTATTTGATATTTCATTTTATTAATTTAAATTGGCGTATGAAATATTTTATGATTATCAATTTTAAAATTTTTTAAACATTTGCAAACTTAATCTATTTATTAAAAAAATTTAATTCAAGGGTTAAATTGTCAAAATTTGATGTAAAAACATAAGCCATTGAGTGAAATGAGTATAAATAAATAAATAAATATATATATATATATATATATATATATCTTAAAATTGTCATAAAGACCAAAAAATAATAATTTTATACTTTAGAAAATGAAAATCAAAGAAAATTTTTACAAAAATAAAAGTAATATTTACAAATTTAAAAAAAAATAAAAAAATGAAAAATAAATTTTACAGAAACTAAAATCTTTCATTTTACAGAAAACATAATTAAGTTCGAAAGATAATAACAAACTTGATTGTAAACTAATATCATGATTTAAAGATATAATATTATGATAATTTGTCTTTTTGAATTCTGAAATTGAATGCACTTCAATTTACCTGGTATTATTGTGTTTATTGCAAAACTGTACTCTCAGTGAACCTTGCTCATCCCAGGTTTCTTTTTCGGTATTAGAGATGATGAGAAAAATAGAATATGAGAAAATAGAATGAAATTGTAACCAAATCTGCACACCTTGCAAATCTTGTATCTGCGGCTAACAAGAAGATTGTATCCAAAGATTACTAACTGATAAAATCATGAACAGACTAAATTCTAATTTTTTAATTACTGATAACTATATCTTTATGGTGCTTTATCACCCGAAGTTTATCTTTCATTACCAAATTTTAAATCTTTCAGAGCAAGATCGTAGTCAAAGATTTAGGTGATTAACTTATAGATATATATGGAAGAAATTTAAGAATTACCTGAGGTATACTATTCTCGAGCAAAGGAAAAACAGCAATACATGGCTACTTGGAAGAAGTTGGCAACTCTAGGGAGTGGGTCTTATGCTACTGTTTATCTTAGTGCTTTGAACCTTCCAGACGGATCAAATCGGAAGATTGTAGCCGTGAAGAGTTCAAGTCATTTCTCTTACTCAGTTGCTTCGCTGAAGAAGGAAAAGAAAATACTGGAGTTATTCAAGGGTTGCAATGAAATCATTCAATGCTATTTTGATCAATACGCTATTGAGAAATACTATGTCTCCTACAATCTTTTCATGGAACTTGCTCCTTATGGTTCTCTTGGTGAATTAATTAGGAAGAGAGGAGCACTATCTGAAGATACAGTAAGAATTTACACACACATGCTTTTGAAAGGACTTCATTGTATTCATGGAAAAGAAGTGGTTCATTGTGATTTGAAACCAGACAACATTCTTCTGTTTCCAACATGGACGAGTGAGACATGGTATCAAGTGAAAATTGCTGATTTTGGATTGGCCAAGACTAGAGAAGAGGCAAAAGCTGAGTTTGGACCCGGAAAGATGAAATTTAGAGGCGCAGCATTTTACATGTCACCAGAATCAGTTACTGGGGTGATTGGAACTGCATTGGATATATGGTCTCTTGGGTGTATAGTAATTGAAATGATCACTGGAATGGATGCATGGAGGAATGTTAAAAGTCAAGAGGAACTAATGGTGAAGCTTGCATTACACAAAGAAGCCCCACCAATACCTGATGGACTGAGTTGGGTCTGTAAAGATTTCTTGAGCAAGTGTTTTGTCAAGGATCCTACCCAGAGATCCACTTCTGCAATGCTTCTTAACCATCCTTTTATTAATTCTGCATATAACAGCGACATGCAGACCAGCCACACAGCTTATCAAATCTATTCTCAATCTGTCACTAGTTCATCTTTATTCTCATATGATCTTTTTGATTACCTACCACGTAACTAATTAAGGCATGAATAGAGTTTGCTGGTCAAGCAATGTAAACTCTTTATATTTTTATGCTGTACTTTCTTTTGTTGAAAATATCAACTAATGGCACTTTTATGTTTAGTTTTGCTCTGTTTCAATTCTTTACATAAAGTAATATGAATAGAGTTTTCTTCAACACTGCCTGCAAACTTTGCTTGTTCCATCTGATATGATGCTTTACTTATTGCTGCATATAACAATGTGAGCTTAATTTTATCATTTGAACCCGTGTTACCTCTATTCTGCATAAAACAATGACGTGCAGACCCACATTAACTTCTTCTCAATCTGTCACTTGTTCATCTTATTAGTTTCTCATGATTTTTTTATATGTTATTTCCTTATCATCACACATATGCTTTGTTGTGCTTCTGATTGTGAAAATACGTTTTCTGTTACTCTTTAATTTGAAATGATGTTGGGCTCTTGGTCCGTTACTTTTGTTATACACGGAACTTATAGGAGGTATACTTTTTCATTTGCTTCATTAGAAAGAGTTACGGGTTTTTTTTTGGTTAGTTTTTCAGACGAAATTAATATTAATTGATTTTCCTGCCAACTAATGAAATGTTTTGTTTTATTATAAAATAGTTGAACTATTATATAATAGTTTACTACGAAGTACAAACTTTTAGGAGGGCCTAAATCCAATTTACCTACTATATTGAGATTTGGTCTACGACCTATGGCAAAATATTATTTTCAGCTTTAATTATAAAACTAGATTAAGGGCAGAGAATCTTAATCAATTTGGCCATATCATATTTCTCAGATGTTAAAGCTCAACCTATATACAAAGTCACCTTTCAAATTACATTTTCGATCGTATATGCATGCATCCAATTGATATAAATGATAATAGCCTCTGACGTGAAAGGTTAATATAGTTAATTCCATGTTCACATGTTAATGTACCCGCCAATACTTATCATTTTCCCTCCCAACTCAATTTTCCTCTCTAGCTGTGGCTGTACACCCATGCTAGCCAAAGGGAATTCTTTTTTAAGGAAAAAGGAGTAAAACTTCATTTTTCTAGCTAAAGCCATATATATGTACCCATCATTCTACCCAATAATAATTAGATAAAAGATCCTTGTTCTTCATGCAGAGATGTGATATACCCTCACACAACCATAACATTTCACCAACCTATCATTTCCTTGGCCTCTCTAGTATATATAACCCCTCTCCTTCATACATTTCACACGACAAACACAAATTCATTCTTCCACAATCATCAAAGCCATTTTGGCAACTGGAAGATGAAACAAGCAACCCTTTTCTCCTTCTTCTCACTCTTGCTACTCCTTTCATCCACCACCTTGGCAATTTCACCAGCAGCAGCCCCTAAAGCCCCAGGAAAAACTCCCCCTACCCCAAAGGCTGCAGCACCATCACCAAAACCATTAGTCCCAACATTACCTCAGTCTCCAGACTCTTCAGACTCGGTCCCAGATGACATCACCAGAATCCTCAAAAAGGCCAAAACGTTCTCAGTCCTAATCCGGCTCCTCAAAACCACCGAAATCATGAACAACATAAACTCACAGCTCATAACAGCCAAGAGTGGAGGTATAACCATCCTTGCACCAGATGATTCTGCCTTTTCCAACCTCAAAGCAGGCTTCCTCAACTCTTTAAACGAAGGCCAGAAAATAGAACTTGTGCAGTTCCACATATTGCCAGAATTTGTGTCCAGCTCTAACTTCGATTCTCTAAGCAACCCTGTGCAGACAGTGGCTGGCAAAGACCCTGCAAGGCTTCCACTGAACGTGAATGCATTAGGTAACAGTGTCAACATTTCAACTGGGGTTGTCAATGCCACAGTTCTGGGGGTAGTCTACTCGGATAATAAACTTGGCATATATCACGTGGACAAGGTCCTTCTTCCTCTAGATTTCTTTCTAACCAATAAGGCTCCAGCTTTGGCTCCTACAGCTCTTGCAAAGGCTCCCAAAGCTGCTAAGGATAACTCTTCTGAAGATGATCAAGAAGAAGCAAAGCAGGACCAGAACAAATCTGGGGCAGTGAGTTTGGTTAGCATTCGTGGAACAATGTTGATGTCGCTTGGCATGGCTTTGGTGGCATTGGCAACCATGTGGAGTTGATCCATTTGACCGAAGCACTTTCGGTTTAATTTCTTTGTCAGACACTTGGATGTTAATTTTTCTTTCTTTTTGTTCAAGTTTTGCCATCTGTTTCTGGTTTCTTGTGTGCCGGTGTTATTATGAAAAGGACGTGAAAACTTTCAATGATTAAGAATATCTTGCAATCTATAATTTGAGAAAAATATTTTTGAGATATAGATATCATATATACAAGTTTTTTTCTTCAATATTTTTCAAATATATGACTAATCGAATCTTAGTTCTCGAGTTTAAGAATTCATTTATCTACCAACTGCGTCAAGAATTATGAATACTAGAAGGTGACTTTTGGATAAAAATAGGAACCGCTTAATAACTTAAAAAAATTATTTGTTATGCATCACTTTTCCACCCTGTTTACCATCTTTACATTATGAAAGGAAAAAACAACAAAAGAGACTCTTTGTTAATAAGTGTAAATGCAGTTGGATAAAGAGTGATGACAAATAACTCTTCTAACTTGAATTAACTAATTTATTGTTTCAAGAAAGATTTTGAGATTTTCATGTTAAAAACTCAGAATATAATGAGTGGTTATTCAATCAGAGATGTTTAGTTTTCCTCAAAGTTAAGTTTTTTGAGTACAAATCCTGGTAATAAAAGAAATACTATATGTTAGAGTGCAAGTGTAAATAAAAGTCACACATTCAATATAATTGAGTATATTGAATAGCATATAAGTGAGAAAGACTTATAAATATGATGTCTTAAGGTATTGTGTTAAGATATAATATCATGTTCACTCATATAATGAAAATCTTCAAGGTGTTTAACCTTGCATTCACAACAATTGGTATACTGTGTTTAACCTCCTTGTATTCACAACAATTTTTATCAAATTATAAATGTTTCAAACTTGAACAAAGGTGATAGAAATAGAAACAAACTTTCTTGTGTAAAGACTCATCATGTGAGGTACAATAATTATATCAAAAGTATTTGTCTTCATTTTTCTAACAACAACTATAACAACAAGAGTGAATCTATGTCCAGAAATGAGAACTTTGTATGAGTATAATATGTTATCTCCATCTGTTTTAAACAAAATTGTAATATATATATGTTATCTTTGAAGTACAAACTGAATCTCAAAAGGTTTCAATATGAAGAAACAAAAATTAAAACTTCTTAGTCGTCTTGAAATATTTCCAATAACATGCACCAGACCAGAAACATTGTTTTGGATTCCAAAGTCCTCTTAAGGGCTATATTATTTATATAATTGGTTATTAATGAAGAGAGATGCTAGGAAGATAATATGGTAAAAGGAAAAATCAACTTTCTCCCAACTAATAGCATTGAAAGAGGAAGAAAGGGTAGAATGCCGGTATGAGGAGTTCCAATTCAATTATAACTCTCAAAATTGCTGAATTGTATGAATTTATTAGAACAATTGTTCTCTGGATCTGTATCAGTGCCTCCTTCCCTGTTTCCTGATTAATGTTAACCGAGCACTTCTTAGTGCTTCATCACCATTGAAGCTTCTTCAAAGGTGATTCTTCATCATTGGAACGTTTAACCTCAAGAGAAGAAAGGGATTGAAGCTGGAACTTAAAGAAATCAACAATCATCCTTCAAGAGTTCTATCAAGATTGATGTGTGTTAGCATTCTTGTAATATTGTGTGTGCATAATATTTGTAAACAATATTATAGTGAATGATGGACTCCTTCCACCAAGGGGATGAACAAACATCAATGGTGAAGAGGAGCTCCTTGCCAAGGCCAAGATATTGACCTTAGGGGGTGGATGTTCTTCAAGGGTGAGGCAAAAAGGAAGGTGGGCGTAGATGGTGATGGCTTGGGCGAATATGAGAAATGAAGGGAGAATGGTGTTTTAGGTGTTCTAGTTGCCTCTCTTCACTAAGTGGAGGTGAAGGCCATTCAAGGTATCCCTAAACTCACTCTAAGGAGGAGATAAGAGAGGTAGGCCGAATTGACCTATTGACTAAGGAGAGGATTTGAGGCAAAAAATGCTCACTCAAATTCATATATTCCAAAGTATTTACATGATGCATAGCCTAGGGTATTTATAGGAGTGGGAGGCATCTAGGGTTGCATTTGGAGAGTGCATGGA